CACCACCTGCAGGAGAATCAGTGAGGGGCTGGTGCTGAGTGTACTGGGTGCAGCTCTGACTGCCACCCCCCCGACCCCAGAAATGGATTAAGGGGAAGAAAATGGATGGATGGATGGATGTATTGTACCACAGTATGTCACACATTATTGTATTTCACATGTTAATTTTATTATCGAACATTGCACTTATATACAAGTATGACTATATTTTAACTATTCACAAGTATATATAATGTACTTGTGAACTCATTCAGGTTGCAACTGTTGTGCAATAGCCAATCCTTTCTCCAAGCTGCAGAGAGATGACACAGCCTTATAAAACTAACCAGGGATGAAACCCAAGAAGCCTTAACTAGAACCAACGAGCCCCATGGCGGCAGCCGGGGCCAGGGCCAAACCAGAACCAGGCTGTACTCATCCATCCAACGTCCTTCTTCCCCGTGCAGCCTTCGTGCCTGAGCTCCAACCATGGCCCCGCGCGTTACGGGACGAGTTGGTTTTCAGTGGAGATGTTTATGGCCCCACATGTCCTCAGCCGCGGCCCATCCCCTGCCCTCCCCTCCCGTCTCGTCTCTAAACTTGGCCTTGAAACTGGATGACGCAGCGCTGCCCTGTGACCTTGGATTCAAACAGATCCGTATGACCACCAGGACTGCACCTTTCCGAGTGTAAATATTCATGTAACGTTGTGGTTGTGTGCAAAGGCCATTCGCAAAAACGAAAAGTGCTGTATATATTTGCGCGTCTTCTCAGTCACACACCCAAACCATGCATATAGAGGCCCTGCAAGGCTTGTTTATTTTGTAACTAAGTGCTGTTATAGTCCTGATATTTTCAATGGTCAATTGCAAAGGTTGTTATAATAAATATTAATCAAAATTTAAAATCCATAAACACGATTTCAGATGCTATTGATCTACATGTGTATTGCCGTGTGAGCTGCATGTATTATAGGCTATAGTTCCAGCTTAAAAGAAAAAAAATAATCGGAAATTTATAATAACTGAAAATACATAATTCAACAAAATATTAACAAATAACACAATCTTTAAGGAATAACAGTATAGTTTTTTCAGTATATACCAGGGTCTGTTTTTTTCTTTATTTTTAATGGTCGTCAAATGGTTGCGTAAATTCCCTCAAAATAGATCGTTTTTGTTTTAATACCACATTTGAACGATCAGATCTGTCCTCTTCCTCCTCCTGACCCATACAAATCCACAACACTATTTATCCTAAATATAGACCGGCCGTGCCCTATTCATTTGATCCACCCAATAGCTATCTCTGCAAAACACGGCATCGTCTTACTAACAAGGCCCAACATTTATAGTCTGTCTGCACCATTATTATTATCATCATCATTATTATTACCATTATCCTCATGCCTTACCACCAGTGTAGCAGTAGCTGGGAAACACACCAGGTGCAAATCCCCCGCGCGCAACGCTCCTCGCAAAACCTCCTTTACAAGAGCGCGCCATGCATGAGTCTGGACTCGGCTTTATTTTTGGACCGAGGAAAGTATTCATATCACTGCAGCGACAAGTGGATGTAGCTCTGCGAATGTGAAAGCCTTCGGGCCCTGGTACAAATCAAAAGAATGTCCCTTTCCACGTACGCGCGCAATTTAAGTACAGTAGATATATAATTTGGCCTATATATCTACACACACACGCGTTTGGCAAGATTCAGAAAAAGAGGACGAATAGATAGACGTGGTGTGTTCCTCGCGTTGTTTTTATTTCCCATGCAAAGCTAGAGGCGACAAAGAGGCATTTTCAACCGGTTACTCACTGAGCAACATCTGTAATTAACCTGCACTTTATATGAAAAGCAGCTTCACGCTTCGTTGGATGTTGAAGCGTACACAGCGTGGATGCAGGGCTTACTCTGACCAAACACGTTTGACTTTTTTTACGCACGGCTTACTGGGGATTTGCAGCGATACAGTTTCACACAATTACAGGGCACAATGTTGTTAATTATTAATCATAATTGTCCAGTGTTTGTTTGCTCTTTGCGTTGGCGTTGAGGTGCCAATTTCAAGGCGTGGTGCTGGGATAATGTACTTTTCTTTATCACCTTTTCCCTCACAGCATTTTTATGTTGTGACTGTGTAGCTGTACAATTTGTAAGATAGATTAAAGCCTATGTTTTCGGGATTTTTACTCGTTCACTCATGATTTGGGTCTTTCCTCGTGGTTCTGATTTAAGCCCGTGACTATATTCATGCGTCCTGTAGTTAATTATAAAGTGGGGGTTACGCATCGTGGACACTCACTCACTTTACTGGAAAATAAACGGCCGAAAACTCATTTATGTTCACATTTTGCATGGCGGGGCTGTTGGTATTTGTGTATGTACAGGCTGGTGCTGCCATTGCAAGTTATAAAACTGGATCAGTGTTGGGAAGCATTCTATCTAGTTACAGAAAAATTCATTGTTTAAAAATATTACAATATCATTCGTGAAGTGTACTGTTCCTTGGTCCAATCAGAATCCATTGTTCTGAATACTCAGAATACGTTCTCGTTTAGTAAAAAAAACAAAAAAAAAACTGGGTGATGGAACACAGCACTGTACTGTTTATGCAAAATAGAAAGAAAAAAAACGACAAACAGATTCCCCAGTGTTCACAGTTAATATAATGGAATAAAGTCTAGTGAAAGCAGCCCCTGTGCTGAGACTGGGACTATATGGAACTCTTCATATTTATCATAATCCAAGTGAACATTGTGTTGGTACAGGATCTTTACAGACTGAGCGTTCTGCAGATGTTTAGCAAACGGGATGTTGTATCATGACATTTGAAGCCCCATATGTAAGACTTTATCTCAATATGTAGCATCTTTTGTTTGAACGCATCCGAATATGCTAACCTATGGGGACGTTTATGCTGTCCCCTTTTAACTGAATATATACATGAATACAGAGACAGCAGGCTTGCGTCTCCTCAAAACTGACTCGTACTTGTCCTAAATCTGGCCCACGATACCTTTTTTAGTGGCCCCTGGAAGGATTTTCAATTACCATCGTCCCAACCAGCTCTTACGTTTTTTTAAGTTTGGTCCCGACCAAAATGAGTTTGACACTTCTTTCCTAAAGGATCCTTCCACACTGACACACAAATGCACTAATATTGAGATCAACACTGGTGAAAATGTTATGATTCTCAAGTCAATGGAGTAATTCTGAGGGAAAATATTAAACGCATTATGGTTTATTCAGTGACATACAGTATGAATCATATTGTTCTGCAGCTTTCCTGGAGGCTCTGGAATGGCTTTGCTTCAAATGCTGTTCTGCTGGTTTTGCCCTTTCTGCACACGACATTCCATTTTTCCTTGAAGACCAGTGACTTCATGATGTTACAATTCATATCTGTGGAGAGGAGATCTGATCCAACGTAAATGTGTATGTTTTGAGCATTAAAAACTAATTCAATGGTTTTTTTAACCAAAACTGGGGGGCAACCCATCACAGAAACAACATCTCCATGGCAACAAGCAGGTAATGGACCCCAGCAGAAAGGTTGAGCTGTGCATCTTTAAACCCTCAATATACTGTAGTAAACCCTCTGTTTTGTTATGAGCCGTGAGGAAAAACAAGGATTCAGTCAGTCACCCATTGTGCAAGTCCCCTCACTTAAAAAGACAAGAGATGCTTCCAACTGTTATTATAGGTAGACCTCAAACATGAGAGACGAAATGGGAAAAATATAAAAAAAATGCACATTGAATCTATTTGAAAATAATGGTGGAAAATAAGTATTTAGTCACCTACAAACCCCTTTGTCCTTCAATAGTTGATTAATGGCACCTGTTTGAACATTATCTGTATAAAAGACACCTCGAACAAAACCTCACACAGTCACACCCCAAACTGTCAGAGGACACCAGAAACACAGTTCTAGACCTGCACCAGGCTGGGAAGACTGCAAAAGGTAAGCAGTTTGGTGTGAAGACATAACTGTGGGACCAGTTTTTTGTAATAACTCAACTTGTCATGTTTGGAGGAAATAAAATTGTGAGCAGCATCCAAAGAACACCGTACCTACAGTATTGTGGTTATCTGCAAAGATACCAGAACGATTGATCCGTGGGAAGGAAAGAGGAATGGGGCCAATTATTGTGAGATTTTAGGCTTTCAATGATCCCAAACACGCGTAGCCATGGCAACGAAAGGAGTGGCTTTGTAAGAATCATGCCCAGGTCCTGGAGTGAGATGAAAGTCTGTGTTGCTCAGCGACAACACCCAAACATCGCTGCTCTAGAAGAAATCTGCATCTCATTGATGAAAACTATCTTATCTTCAAGTGGAAGGACTTCATGAGTTTGTTTCTGACTAAATCTTATTGTGTCCCACTGTAAATGTGTTTACAGCGCCACAGAAACTCACACTTTTGTCACAGATATCTACAGCCCACACTTCTGCTTATACTATCTGGCCACTCATCATTTGAGCCAAGCTCGAATCGAGCCAGTTCTTGGATTGTGGACTTTTTATCAAACACTGGGGGCCCCCAAGGCTGTGTGCAGGGGCCGCTCTTGTCCACACGTGACCAAGACTCTTCCTCCTTTGTTACATCATTGTCACATTTACA